GTCCTCTCCTATTCGGTGAAGTCTATGCATAGTTACTGTTTATGTTGTTGAAAAAAATGTATTTGCAATGAATAAGTTACTGGTTTTGTAAAATTATATCGTGGTTTGAGGTATTGTTTCTATTACCAGGGTCATGCTTTATAACTACTGATCCTTCTTCTTTGTTTCCAGTATTTGCATTCCAATCACCACAATGATCAATGACTGCACATTTGATGAGTTTCAGACTGCAACAGTTGATATGACGTTTCAGTTTCTTCATCTTTGGTTTGCAGACGTGATTAATAGTTGTCTTACCTGGTGTTTCTTGTAGGCTGGGCACAAGGCTTCAAGGGAAACCCCAGAAGACAATGCACAGTATTACAATGCAGTACGCAAAGACCTGGGATTTCCAAACCTAGAGGGCAGAACATGCTCAGCATTTATTTAGATGAAAATAGTTGTCTTACCTGGTGTTTCTTGTAGGCATATGGATAATATCCCTTGACAGGGTTGTGCTTCAGGATAAATCTGGAAATGTTCTTTTTGACCATGACAACGTGCTTCCTCTTCAGTTTGTCATTCCTGGCATATGGACCACGTGATTATCTGATTCGAACAGGCTAATACCCATTTGTTTCAGTTCACCAATGCCTAGGATATTGACCTTTATGCATTCCGTTTGTTTTTTTGACAAATTTCAATTTTCTTAGCCTCATATTTTGTACATTCCACTTTTTGATCAAGGCATGGTGTACTGGCCAAAATATCCAGCCCGAACCCTAGAAAAACATGGAAAGCCATCTGTCCACCTGCTTACCTTGATTGTCCCTCACGGTGAAGTTGGGGTTGGTAGCGGCCTCGGGAGCCAGGCTGTAGTAGAAGTGCTGGCCATGGCGCGGCTCATCTTGGTCGACAGCACTCACCGTCTGGATCAGCTGACGGAGGGGACATGGCATCAGAGCCAAAGGATTAAAGTTCAGGATGCAGTGAAACCCCAAACCCCAAAGTTTAACAGCAGATTGTTTCCTGAGTGACAAGGACACCGTGAAACTCACTGGGAAGTTGTGATGCCACCACAAAACTCAGGATTTCATTTTGGTTTATGGTTCAGCCTGAGGCCCTGATACATAATCCATGGCTGTTGGGTGAATTCCAACCTAAAGCAACCCTATGCGACACTGGAGAACTGCCCATAGGGTTTCCAAGGTTGTCCACTTTATAAGTCACCTGCCCATCTTTCTCTTGCAAAGCACGTGGTGAGTTCGAACCACTGACCTTTCTGTTAGCAGCTGAGTGCTTAAGCACCATGCCACCCAGGGTCTTTGATGACTTAATAGGCACATGGCCAGTACCTCTGATATTAGAGATCAGCATTACATGTATTCACATACCAAGGTCAGACCAAACACTTTCCTTAGACCATGGGTACCACATGGTCAGGCCTGTCCCCAACCTATTTCTCCTCCCACTTTGGCCTACTTAACCTTATCATTTGGGTTCATTTTTTAAGATTAGACTGCTGTCTATGCCCAGGAGACACATGGACATTAGCTGTGTGAAATGAAGAGAAAAGAACCCCCAGGGAATGGCCACAGGGCAGGCACATTTTGTTGGTGGGAGGGGGAGTTCAAGAAGGTTTGGGGGCACACGGCCAGGGGAGAGTCAGAGCAGAGTTGAGGACAGGAGCGAGCAAGGAGTGGGTGGTTTCCTTTTGAGGTCTTGAGTCAAAAATTCACCTTTTCCACAAAGCTTTAAGAAATAATAAGTTGTTATATTATTGAGGAAATGGTGATAAGAAAGCAATTAGAGAAAGCCATGGGAAACAGGCAGCGGAACACTCGAAGATAGAGAAAAGGCTCTGAGAATCGGCCTCCTTCCTGTGTGCCTGGACCTCCATCCCGAGCACAGACCCTCCAAGACCTGGTGGGAAAGGCAGAGATACGTTTGCTATTGAGGCCCAACTGTGCTTCTGCAAAGGGAGAGACTGGAGACTTCATGGTTACTTTGAAGGTGTGCTTGCTTCCTCTCCGTGTCTCCCATCTGTCCAGTAGGGAGGTAGTGCTACCTTCACAGCACGCTGCGCTGAGAGCCGGGGGGCCTGTGTTGACTACGGTGCAAGTCGCTCACATCCCCCTTCAGTGAAGGGGTGCCCTCAGTTGCAGATCGCCACCTTCCCCAGATCACCACACTGACTAACTGATTGATGCCGTAGTGTAAAGTCTGGCCATTCCATCACAACTCCGGATAAAAGCTAGTTCCATAACGCTCTGTGAAGCCTGCTAAGGCTGTTAGTGGGCTGGTGCAGCCTTGTCACTGGGGTCAGTGCTACCCAATGGGGGTAATTCACAGTGTCACTCTCTCTTCAGCTATCATGCCCCCCTCCTTCCCCATGGCTCCTTGAAGTTTATCCTCTCCCATTGGCCAAGGCAGAGATGGTGACTGCATGTCACAGTGAGGTGGGGCTGAGTGGTCGGGCTGGTTGGTTTGGGGCGGGAAAGAATGATGAAGCAAAGTTGCCCGGCTGGGTCAGCGCCCCCAGTCACACTCCAGGCCTGGTCTCATTTCCTCCTCAGCAGGTTCACGGGGCCCTCAGCCACCACCAAGTCTACTGTCCAGCTTCTTTCTGGGGTTTTGGGCAGCTGCTCCCTGAGGACAGCGCCGTGCCCTGTGACTGGTGCCGACACAAAACTGAGGACAGTGGCTGGCACGCTACCATGAGGAAGCCTCGTCGGCTATAAGCCACTGCACCGATTCAGCTGAGGACTGCTGAAAAGGCTTGAACACATTTCCCAGACTAGAATCAAAGCGTGGGATTTTCATTCTCTTGGGCTAAAGATGACAAATGTGACAGATTTGTGGCTCATGCCATGAACTCTACTTTAAGTCACGGATAAGCTCTGTTTCAAAGCACTGTGTTAGAGACCATGAAAAGATGGATTTAGAAATGGCAGCTGTCCTGGTGGGACCCCAGTAACAAGAGCGGTGGTTACAGCTAGCCTCCCAGAAGGCAAGCGAAGCCCCCTCTCTTGACGTTTTCATGAGATCGGAAGTGGCTTATGTTGGGGGTTAGGGGAGTGGTTTAATGCACTTTCTTATTTATCGTCCTCTATAATATAGATTAAAAATCAATCCCTTCTGTCATAGGGAAAACCCCAGGGCTTTCTACTACTGTAAAGAGTTAGTCTTGGAAACTCACAGGGGCAGTTCTATCCTGCCCTAAAGGGTTGCTGTGAGTCAGCATCGACATGATGACAGGAGTGTGGTTTTTTGGTTTTGTCATAGTATAACCCAGAACGCATTAAGGCAAAGAAAGGGTCAAATCCTTGTGCTCAAAATTTAATTGCCTTTGCACAGGAAGGGATGCTATTTTTGCATCCCCCTGCTCCCCCCACCCCGAGTGCTTGAATCTGTGTTCACAACCAGACCTAACTGTGCATGGTGGCAAACGGATACCTGCAGCTCTAATTCTTCCCATATTTACATCTTATAACCATTTCCTAGTCTAGAAAACCTCCACTGTAATTTTTATTAGCTACATAGTATTTCAGGTCTTTCTCGACTAGAAACAGAAATAGAAGTCAGATCTTCCAAAGTGGTTGAAAGTACATTTCAGGCACACAGTGGGCCACTGCGCCGAGAGGCTGGGATGGACAGAAACTCTGTAGGATGCCCTTTCCCTGCAGGACGGGCCAAGCTTCTGGCTTAGGGAAGAGGAAGAGGCATCACGGCAGAGTTCTGTGATTTGGGAAGAGTTTCCTTCTGGCTTGGCAGATGTGCTCTCCGAGCTGTGGGACGCTGGAGCTGATAATGGTGGTGGTGGTGGTGCGGTGGGGGGTGGGGATGGTGATTGTGTGTGTGTGTGTGTGTGTGGTGGGGGTGGTGAAGTGGAAACTGAAAGCAAGCACCCCATTTGCTTTGGGAGGCTTTGGGAGGCCCAGCTTACCAAAGTCTGAGCTTATTTCTTCTCACCAGCCCTTAATTCAAAGAGGACCCTATGGCATTGAAATGCCCTTTGCCCATTTCACCATGGCCCCTGGTCCCCAGGATCATAGGCTGTTCTCTGGAGGTAAAAGGAGGCGTGCTGAGGAGGGTGGGGCGGTGAAGAGGAGAGACGTGCCTTACAGAAGCAGGAGCAGGCGGGGGAGCTGGCCTGTGGCCTGAGGTTTGAAAGGAGGCATGATACTGTGGACAGCACGGCCTAAAACACTTCACCACATGGTCACGCCAGAGCCCCTTTGTTTCTCAGTAACTTGCAGTCTTCTCAGTGAAATGTTCTTTTAGGTTTCAAAGCACACTCTTAGAGATCTAAGGCCGGCACGCCAGAAATGCCACACGCGGGTAGCTTTTGCAAACAGACATAGATGTTCTCCCAAGTTAGGAGATTAGCAGTCCACATTCAGTGAATTGTGCCTCAGGAAAGGCTTGCTATCTTGCCGTTGACTGGGTGGGGGGAATCTCTCATCCGCTTCTGTTTCTAGGGTCTGCAATGATCTCATGTGGCTTCTGTCCCCACCTCTGGTTTGCCTCAAGGCTTAGCCACTCTGTTCTTTTTCTACCTCAAGAAAGGTTGGTGTCCGACACACCCTACAGTGGTACTGTCACTAGACATAACGAAGAAGGCCCACTCACCCAGGGGGGTTAGGTCCACGGTGTGGGGTTAGGAATGACAACTCAGACGGGGGACACAATTCAATCCACGAGGCTCTTAACTTAAACGCAAATAGGACAAGATGATGGGACTAAAATGATTTCCAGTAAGTAGGAATTTGTTCCTTCAGGTTAATTTCCTCCCCAAACTGAACCACCTGGAAACCTGGTGGCACGTAGGGTTACGCATCGGATTACTAACCCACAAGGTCAGCAGTTTGAAACCACCAGGTGCTCCACAGAAGGAAGATGAGGCTCCTGTTCCCATCAAGAGTTACCGTCTTGGAAGCCCACAGGGGCAGTTCGGCCCTGTCCTGTAGGGTCGCTGTGAGTGGGAAAGGGCTCAATGGAAGGGAGGTTTTTTTGTTTCTTTGAACAACACAAAGAACATGAGTGTTTTAGGTGAAAGGGAATGTGAGAGAGAGAGAGAGAGA